AGATGTGCAGAGTTCCATGCTGCCTACGTCCCAAAGGAAGACTGGAATGGTTCTGTGCCTTTTAGAAGCAGGAGAAATACATATAAACTAGAAACATTAAATGAGAGCAAACCTGGAGGCATAACAGAGGGGCAAGAAAGAGATTTTATAGCTGAGAATACCCTGGCAGTAGCAGTGGTAAGTTGGGAAATATTTGGATTCTATTTTTTGACGGGGAGGAGAGAGAGATATTTTTTGAGCAATGGTGATAATCATTTCTATTTTAGAGAAGGAACTGGGCTGGGTGCAGTGGCTTATGCCTATAATCTCAGCACTTTGGGAGGCCCAGGCAGGCGGATTGCTTGAGCTCAGGAGTTTGAGATCAGCCTGAGCAACATGTTGAAAACCTGTCTCTATAAAAAATACAAAAATTAGCCAGGTGTGGTGGTGCATGCCTGTGGTCTCAGTTACTTGGGGGACTGAGGTGGGAGGATTGCTTGAGCCTGGGAGGTGGAGGTTGCAGTGAGCTGAGATCATGCCACTGCACTCCAGCCCAGGCATTGGAATGAGACCCCATCTCAAAATAAAATAAAAAATAGAGAAGGAACTGATGGTAGGAAGGGGACTACATTTTGAGGAGAACATAAAAACTTTGTAGCTATTTACAAGACCAGTAAACCAAGCTGGAGATGAATCAGCCATTTTAAGGGGCCTTGGGATCAATGCCCCAGTGACTTTAATCAAGCTGGGATCAAGGGCCTGACTCTGAGTACAAACTTTCCCTCCAAACCTTACTTGTGTCTTCAATCTCAGCAAGGGCATCATTATATACTCAGTTGTTCATGCCAGAATCTGCTACTTATTTTTAACACCTTCCTCCCCTTCACGCCATTCTTGTGATAGTGAATGAGTTCTCATGAGATCTGATTGTTTTATAAGTGTTTGGAAGTTGCTCCTTCACTCCCTTCTCCCCTGCCACATTGTAAAGAAAGTGCTTGCTTCCCCTTCGCTTTCCACCATGATTGTAAGTTTCCTGAGGCCTCCCCTGCCATGTGGAACTGTGAGTCAATTAAATCTCTTTGCTGCATAAATTACCGAATCTCAGGTCTTTACAGCAGTGTGAAAATGGACTAATACAACTTTTGTACTCACCGAAGCCACTCCAATAAGCTCCTGTCTGGCCTCTTCAAAACAGTCTCTGAATGCCTCCTCTATTCGTAGACCACACTGGAGGCAGTGGGAGCTTTTAAAATAGAAATCTTACCACTTCACCTCCATGTTTTCCCTTTCTCCTGGATTAATATCCTGAGGCTGACCGTCAAGGCTCTACATGTTCTGATTCTACATACCTCACCAGCTGTTCATAAAGAAACATCATTTGCTGAATGAATAAACCAGTAGACTAAGACACTGCCACACTTTGGATAAGTCACTTAAATATTCTAAGCCTCATTTTCCTAATTTGTGAAATGAAAATCGTTATTTTCGTCACTGGGATTTGCTAAGTTAAACAATAAGGCACCGCATTAATAAAATGTGAGTGTTTAGCATGGCATAATATAATTGATCATTGGAAATAAGCCAAATTAGCATTTAGCACAGAACCTGATAAATGCACCCAATACATGTTGTATTGTTCATGATAAATTGGCACTTTGGGGTGCTAATTCTCCTAGGTGACTTTTTGTTTCTATAAAATTTCCTCCCAAACTCCATTGCGCCTCATTCGATGCTGAACAGACAGCTGCACATGGTTATTTTCAGCATCGTACTGCTGCTCAAAAAAATCTTCATTGTCTCCAATGCCTACGAAATCCAGTTTAAATTCCTGTTTTGCATTCACATTTCCAATTTTGTTCAGTATACATCCCATGATCCTGAGAAATCAATCTCAAACAAAATTTACAGGGTTTCTACAAAATTCCAGGAGCTGTGTTAGGTGCTGGATATTTAAATTTAACCACTGAGGCTGGGCGTGGTGGCTCACGCCTGTAATCCTAGCACTTTGGGAGGCTGAGGCAGGCGGATCACCTGAGGTCAGGAGTTTGAGACCAGCGTGGCCAACATGGTGAAACCTCATCTCTACTAAAAATACAAAAATTAGCCAGGCGCGATGGCAGGCACCAGTAATCCCAGCTACGTGGGAGGCTGAGGCAGGAGAATTGCTGGAACCCAGGAGGCAGAGGCTATAGTGAGCCAAGATTGCACCATTGCACTCCAGCTGTGTGACAGAATGAGACCATCTCAAAAAAAAAAAAAAAATTAACCACTGAAGCCTTCCTTGTATGATGTAGTTTCACCAGTGATGCGCTATTTCATTTAAATAAAGAGTCTAAATAGGCCAAAATATCGTTAAAAAGGAATTTCAGGCCGGGCGCGGTGGCTCAAGCCTGTAATCCCAGCACTTTGGGAGGCCAAGGCGGGTGGATCACGAGGTCAAGAGATTGAGACAATCCTGGTCAACGTGGTGAAACCCCGTCTCTACTAAAAATACAAAAATTAGCTGGGCATGGTGGTGCGTGCCTGTAATCCCAGCTACCCAGGAGGCTGAGGCAGGAGAATTGCCTGAACCCAGGAGGCGGAGGTTGCGGTGAGCCGAGATCATGCCATTGCCCTCCAGCCTGGGTAACAAGAGCGAAATTCCGTCTCTTGAAGGATATCAACAGGAGTTGTGGCCCCAAGAACATAGCCCAGCACCTGTGGCAGCCACAGAGATGCACTGCTAAGATCTCCCTTCAGCAGAAGCTGCTGTGGGGAACAGAGTTAACTGACAGCCTCTGGCTGCCACGTGGGATTCAACACAGTTTTCACACCAAGGCTAAGCTTACTCAGGGGGGCACTCAGCCAGTGAATGGTCTGGGTAGGAGTCCTAGAGGAGTGTGCTAAAGCTAAGGCTCTCCCTGTCTTCCTTCCTTCTTTCCTTTCCTGGATATTAGACCTGCAAATGGTCCGAAGGCTCTCCTGCCTCTTCCTGCTCCCTCCTCCTTTATCCTTCATAGGGATTTTGAATGCCTGTTGCATATCAAATCCCACTTTGGTGTCTGCTTCTTTGAGAATGCAAACTAACACAGGCGGTACCAAGAGTGGTCCAAGACAACAGACGGTAAGATGAGGCTTGGGACTGTTTCTGCATCACCCAGCTGGCAAGGAGGGCCCAGTGATGAGGGAAACATCAGGCACAATAATCCTTGGCACAAGATAGTTAACCTAATTGCTAAATCTTTCAAACTGGTGCTCTGGGATCCCACACAAATAGCCTCTGAGCAGGGCTCTTACTACGCAGTGCAGGAAGTGTGGGAGTGGGATCACATCCATCCATCCATACATATCACATACTTCTGTCACAGTCTGGAAGGAGCTGCTTCATGAAAGGCTGCAACAGCCTACTGAAGGAATGGCTGGAATGCTCCAAGGTCAGATTCTGCAGGGGTAGATGCTATCCTGTCCTACATGTTTTTAATTGGAGAACTCTATGGCAGTGCGTCCTCTCAAGGAAAAATACATGTGTCTGGGAACCAAGGGTGAAAGCAAAAGTAGTCCACTTACCATCATTCTTATTGACCCACTATGGGATTATGTGTTTTCAGGTCCCCACAATTCTGGGCTTAGCAGGGTTGGAGGTCCTTGCTCCCAAAAGGGGATCCCTGTGCATGGGGACTTGGTAAGGCTCCCACTGAACTGCAAGCTATGGCTGCTGCCACCTCACTTAGAAGTCTTTGTGTTCAGGGGGCAGCGGGCAAGAAGAGGAGTCCCCATCTTGTGAGCAGCAATTGACTTCCATTAGCAGGAGAAGATCAGGCTGCTTTTACACAATGCAGTCAGAGAGGAGTATGTGTGAACCCAAATAATCCACTTGGATACCACCTGCTATTCCCTTGCCGAGTTGTAACTGTGGACATTTATAGCAATCCCAGCCTGAGAAAGATTAGAAATTAAGGGCTCAGACCCCTCAGAACGAAGGTTTGGGAAATACCATGTCATCCACCATACCTTGCTGAGGTGATAGCTGAAGTTGGGGGGTGGGGATTCATAATGGATAATGGGGAAAAACAAGATGAGTATGAAGTATGACCCTGAGACCAACTACAGGAACAGGAGCTATCGTTCATCCTTCTAACTTTTCTTTTCCAAATATCCCCAGGAAAACTTGGAGGATGCCCTAAAAATGTAAAAAGATAGGACACATATTCAGAGAAGTATTTGTGATGCATTTAATGATAAATGAGTGTAATCCAGAATACTTTTTTTTTAAACTTCTGAAATGAATAAGAAATGATAACCTCATAGGAAAATGGGGAAGGACAGGAATTGGCATTTTACAGAGAAGAAACAATGTAGACAATAAACATATAAAAAGATGTTCAATCTCATTAATGATTAGGCTGATTCCAATTAAAATAAAGTGAAATATATTTGGGAAGGAGGCAGGAAATAAAGTTCATTAAATTGTATTTTTCTCCTTACAATTTCTACATAATATATTGCTATATAATATATTGTTCATTTACATAGGTATTACTATTTCAAAACAAGTTTAAATATTTCTTATGAATGAGCTCAATTATATAAAAAGTGTTTATATTCTTAAAAATTGTTTTGTAAAACGGTAGTCTAGACAATTATTCTCTTCCTAAAAAATTAGGTTTGATTTTCAAGATGATATTGAAGACAGAAGATCTGTAATTATTAAGTTCATTTTAGTTGTTTTATAATAGCAGTCTCATTTGGATCAAGATATAGATAGATAGATAGACCAACAGATGGATTTAGATCAAAAGACACTGGTGAAGTTGTCTTTTAAAAATAAACAGATAAACCAAGGGCTTATCTGTTAAAAGCAGACTATTTTTTAGAGCAGTTTAAGCTCTTAGAAATATTGAACAAAAGGTAAAGGGACTTCCAATATGCTTCCTGCCCCCATATATGCATAGTCTTTCCAATTATCAACATCCCATAGCATAGGAGGTACATTTGCTAAAACTGATAAACCTACATTGACACATCAATATCATCCTGAAGTGATCCTTTGATAGTTCCTCAGCATGATGATTTGGTGGTGTTCACATGCATATGTGAGATGTGCTGCCCCCAAACCTTGTTAGGACATTGGCACATTACCCGTCTGACATGAAGAAATATACACAGCACTCAAAATCTGTAATTTACATTAGACTTCCCCTTGGTTTTGTACATTGTAAGGGCTTAGACAAATGTATAATGACATGTATTCACCATTATAGAATCATTACAGAGTAGATTCACTGCCCTAAAAATCCTCCGAGCTCTGCCTATTCATCCCTCCCTCTCTCCTAACCCCTGGCAACGACTGATCTTTTTGCTATCTTCATGGTTTTGCCTTTTTCAGAATGTCATAGTTGGAATCATATAATTTTTAGTCTTTTAAGACTGGTTTCTTTCACTTACTAAGAGGCATTTGAAGCTCCTCCACGTCCTCTCATGGCTTGATGGTGCATTTCTCTTTAGCACTGAATAATATTCCATTGTCTGGATGTACCACAGTTTACGTATTCATTCATCCACTGAAGGATATCTTGGTTACTTCTAAGTTTTGGCAGTTATGAACAAGGCTGCTATAAACATCCATGTGTGGTTTTTGTGTGGACATAAGTTTTCAACTCCTTTGGGTAAATACCAAGGAGTTGGATAGCATAATAAGAATATGTTTAGCCTTGTAAGAACTTTGGTGTATCTTTTAAACAGACAGCTGGATTTCTCCCCTTTGGCCAGGAATCCTACATTGGAGCACTTGAAAAGGCATCAGTGACACTTCATGATCAGCCTGCTCATGCTTGATGGCAACCAATATAGAAGGCATTCAGAATTATGCAACCTTTGGTGTGGCGGAGAGGGATGCGTCCTGGGGTAAGTACACAGATTTCCTGGCACTGGAAATATTCTGTCTTCACCTGTATGAAGAGAACATGAATGTTGGTTATATGTTTCTTTATACCATGTATAAATTATGTATTTTTGTATTGAGGAAATATATTATAAAAATAAATTTTTTTTAAGGCTCAAATACAAGGTACTGGTGGCTCTGGGATTATACAATAGTAGTTTACAACCTTTGTATGTTTAACACATATTTTCAGAGTTTAGAACTTTTTGCCATTCACTTAAATAAGACACTAAATATGTCTGTAAGAATCATACTCCTTAAGTGTAATAGCCTTATTACTGAACCAAACTGGGTCAATTTGCCCATGTGCCATGGAAGGCCAAACACTGAAGCACCAGGGTTTTGTAGAGAGAAGAGTTTATTACAAGCTACCGAGCAAGGAGACAGGAGTCTGGCTCAAATCTGTCTCCCCAGGTTTGGGGCTATGTATAGGTCTTATAGGGAGAGGATAATGAGGCATGCTGTGATTGGATCTTGCAGTGAGGTGATGCTGGGAGCTGTGATCTGACTGGATCTTGCCATGAGGTGATGCCAGGGCTCAATCTGATAGGATCATGCCATGTGGTATCTGCATTTCATTTGGTCCCCATTTCTTGGTTTGAGCACTTAGGTTCTACCTGTGATTGTACATTTGGTTCATGTGGGCATAATCAGGTTATATAACGCACCCATGGCAACTGAAAAACAACTCACCATTTTATTACACAAAGTTGAACCAGATTGGGTTGGTTCTGCAGTTACAGCTTCACAGAATCTGCAAAAGCATCCACAATCATCATTGTTTTCCAAGTCACCCTTTAGCACCTACTGGGTGGTGTTTGACAGAGGTGTCTACCTAACCAGATTTATGCTTCAGTCAAATATGGACTGAAGCATAAATCTGGACCTTTCTGGAGGACCCACAGTGAGCCTCTTCCCTTGCACCAAGTTCTGCTCACCTCCTGTACCCATGGCTTGCTCAGCCCTACCTGACATATCACTGTGGTGATAGGAAAAATACATTTTACACATGAGTCAGAATGTCCATATGCCCTGGGAAGTGTTGATGGCACACTGGCTGGAAGCCATCGGCTCATAAACTCATGAGTCACTGCAGCAGCTCTGTGCAGAAAAGTCCGCAGCGTGGGAGTGGTGAGGAGGATCTGCTTGAGTGGTGTTGCCTAAGCTTGAATTTTGGCTTTGCCATTTACTGGGTGGGTGACCTTAGGCAAGATACTTGACTATGCTTTCTTTTTTTTCTCTATAAAGTGGTCATAATTTTAGCATACCTACTTCATAAGGTTGTGGTGAAAAATAAATGATTTGGTATATGTAAAATGCTTAGAAGGTACCTGGTACCTGATGCTGTATGAGTATTAAGATTTCTTTTTGTTTCTGTGGCAGCAGAGTAGCTCCATTTAAGTCCAAATGGAAGATGGGATGGGGTCAGAGTTGGGGAGAGGACAAACATGCTTTTTGCTTTCCTACACCTTGAAGCTGTAGTAACGAATCGGACTCCATTTTGACTGCTGGCAGCTCTGGAGCCTCACCTCTTCCTCTTCCCCTCTTACTCCACATCTCAGTAAGCTAAGAAAGCCCACACCCCACTCTCTTGGTGCCCATAGGAAGCTCATCCCACGCAGGCCTCTTCTCTCATGCAGGAATCCCTAGCCCACCCTACTCCCTAACTACAATAAAGGCCAAGGCTGCTCTCCCCTCCTTGCTCTCCCTCAAGGTCCATGTTCAGACCTTCTTGGGAGCCTGCTCTGCTTTCCCCAGCAAGCCTCATTATGTAATAAATAAACCTCTTCCTACTTTTTTGCTTCCTGTGTAGTCTGGATATCCAAACAAATTTTTGGTGTGTGTGTGGTGGTATCCTGCCTCTGTGTGGTGACCACAGCAGAAACGCATGGAGCTGGGAGACAGGGAGGACAAAAAGCTACTCTTTCTCTTTCCCCACCCTTCAACATAGGAAATGAATTTCCAGTCTCCAGAGTAAAGACACAGGATCCATAGCACTGAGGGAACAGAATTGCGTTTCCCACTGCCTTTAAGTAAGGCTCTTGTATTGCCCTAATGCAGCGTCCATGTGGTTACACAAGAGACTACCCAAGTATTTTAGAATGTAGTATTACTTTTGTTTTTACAGAAGCCATTAGAATCTTATTTCTTCATGGAGCTAAAAAAGAATGGAAAATAAAAATAAAAGAAATATAGCAGGTCCTCGAATAACATTGTTTTTTTCAACATCATTTCATTATAATATTGATGAGAAAAAATATATATTCCTGCCAGAACCAGTGTCTGTGTGGAGTTTGCACGGACTCTGTCTGTGTGGGCTTTCTCCAGGCATTCCAGTTTCTCCCACATCTCAAGGATGTGCTAGTTCGGTGAATCTGTGTGTCTAAGTCATCTCAGTCTGAGTGAGTGTGGCTGTGAGTGTGTCCTGTGATAGAATGTAGTCTTGTCCCTGGTTGGTTCTCACCTTGCACTGTGAACTGCAGGGATAGACTCTGGCCACCCTTGATCCTGAAATAGAATGTTTGGGTAAATAATTATCTTACTTGTTTTTATTAATCTTTCTTAAATGTATGCATAGCTCTCATTTATTTCAACGTTTAATAGTAGAAGTGTTTTAGTCTTTATGTAGAAGTTTGGTAGCCGGGCACGGTGGCTCACACCTGTAATGCCAGCACTTTGGGAGATCAAGGTGGGTGGATCACCTGAGGTCAGGAGTTTGAGACCAGGCTGGCCAACATGGTAAAATTCCATCTCTACTAAAAAATATAAAAATTAGCCAGGCATTGTGGTTCACACCTGTAGTTCCAGCTACTTGGGAGGCTGAGGTGGGAAAATCACTTGAACCCAGGAGGCAGAGGCTGCATTCCAGTCTGGGTGACAGAGTGAGACCCTGTCTCAAAAAAAAAAAAATTGGTGATGTTTTTTGTAACCAGAAATATGCAGTAGGAACTTAACTCTTGTTTATTTCAAGTAGCCTATGGTGAAATTGGTTTTGTTTTATGTTGTTTTGTTAAAGTCACAGTTTGTAAAAACCTATGGATGTCATACTGTGCTCCATTACACTGTAAGGGAAAGGGAGGGCAGAGAGTGAGACAGAGGACTTAACTCATGAATCGAGGACCTACTGCATGCCAGACCCTGTGTTCTGCCCTCTTGTCATGCACATAACATAAACAGTAGTCTATGGGGCAGAGATTACAATTCCCACTTCGCAGATGGGGGGAATGAAACTCAGGCAGGCTAAATAAATTACCTGGGGTGGACAGACTCTTAAGTTCCCCATGCCTTCCGCATCATGCTTTCCAGTGTTCAAAGCTTTGTGTAAGCCTCTCTCGTTGAGCATGGATGAGATCTGGGACTTGCTCCCAACCAATAGTATAGGGCAAAGGTGATAGATGCCACTCCTGGAATTATGTTGCATTTTATAAAACTCTATCTTACTAGGAGACAGCTCTAGAGACTCTCCTTGCTAGCTTGATGAAGTGCTTATGTTGAGAAAGGCCAGGTGGCAAGGAACTGCAGGTGGTCTGTAGGAATGACAGGGGACTTATAGGAACTGCAGGCAGCCTGGTTGCTGAGGATGTCCTCCCAGCAGCAAAAAGCTGAGGCCCTCAGTCCTACAGCTACAAGGAAATGAATTCTGCCAATAATCTGACTAAGCTTAGAAGAGCATTCTTCCCCAGTTGAGCCTCCAGATGAGAGCACAGCTTGGCTGGCAACTTGATTGCAGAGAATCCAGCTAAGCTGTGCTAAACTCCTCATCTCAGAAAGCTATGAGGTAATACATTATTTTGTTTTAGGCCAATAACTCTGGTAATTTGTTATGCAGCAATAGATAGCTTGTGCATTACCCAACTCCTGTTTTTAGCATCTCCTAATTTAATTTTTTTTAGTGATATAGAATCCTATATAACAACCTACAAAGTGTTGATAAAAGGCTGTAGAACATCTTTGACTGCAGGCCATTTTGATTTAGTTGCTCTCACAATCTGTTTGAAAAGTTGATTGTTGAAGAAAGTGTATAGTGATTATAACATGTTAGTATGATGGCATAGGATCATCGACATTAGGATTTAATCATATCCTAATTGATAGCTTACTTTCTCTTTATTTATACACTCTGACTCGGTCACATTCTTCCAATTTCTATGGAAAAGGTAAATTTAATTTTATTGCTTTATATTTCTGCATTGCTAAAATTTTTCCAG